ATTTAATTTAATTTAGCGCAATTTTTCACAAATTTCAACGCTAAGTGACAATTCAACGTGGTGTGGGGGTGGGAAAGGGGGTGATAACGAACAAGACAGTACTGAAAGATGGCGAGATTTAAGCCCTGGCAGCTCTAAATACATCGAGAAGGCACTAAGACTTCTCCCTCCTCCCCTTCGCAGTGTAACCTGTAAAGGTTTATTTCGAACAACCGTAAGCATAAAAGTTTTTTACTGCTGTTTTTCTAACCTTCTTTGCGGATATTTTTCCTAGTAGCTACTGCCTTTAAACTTTTTTCGTCCATAAGTGAATAAAATACAAGTACAAACGAACCTAAGTTGTCCATGAGGGAATACGCGGCCCTTTTCGTTGTATTCATTGATTGTTGCACGAATGGCTGCTTCAATATCCGGATGGGATGCATCAGCAATATCACTTTCAGTAACAACCAAAATCTGAAACAAAAAAAAATTGATTTTTACTTTTAAAGGATAAAAACTGTAGCTCCTTCACGTACAAGATTCCATCACAAGGAAGGCTGCAAAAGTAAGTTTTTTTGCCAATTTTCGGAAATTTTCTAATAAATACATAACTACACAGTGCAAAAGTCTAACCCAAGCTCCTAATTCTCTTGTGGGAGTGGCAGCAAATTAAGCAATCTCCAGGTATAGCGGGGGTAAAAAACCCCAGCAACTCCAAACATACCGAGAAGACGCTATGCCGCATTCGTTCGGCTAAGCATGGGTGGTACAAAACCAATGTCGGCCTGATCACCGATTGATAATACAGTAAAGGTTAAGCAGCTATGTAAATAAAGGATGCAAAAAACACGATGTGATATGAGGAAAACATTTAAATATTTTTCTGATTTCTGTTTTATAATAACTACAAAGCTTCTAATAAGTGTAGCACGTATTATTCCTTCTGAAGAATAAATGAACATCTAAACGCCAATAAAATGACCATCTATGCATTACTTGAGCGGAACAACAGGAAAAGTTAAAAGGAATATAGTTGGGAAATAGATTCTAAATTTCTTGGCTGTTTAAGCTATTTCAGGAAGTGGGAGATGAACCAGGACAGCGAGAGAGCCGAGGGGAATCAGCACATTTGCGATAAACTATGGCACTTCGAAAAATCTGTTTCAAGTAACCCTCTTTCTTCTAACTTGTTTAGGTTAGCATTTTCTTTGAATAATTTAAGGAAGAAGAATTAACAAACAAACCTTGTTAGAACGAAATTCCTCAACGACAACCGTTTCAAATATATGCAAATAACCTTTTTTTTCAAGAGCACGTAAACATTTCAGCAGTGATTTTTTATCAATCTGAAAAAGAGAACAGAGTTGAGGGCATGGCAAAATTGTGTCTAGATGCATCCCAGTAACATCACGGACTCACTATCGATAGTTCATTGGGATCTTGATTTTTCTGAAGTAATAAAAGCTTAAAAAACTTCTTTTACAGTTAGTAAAAAAGGAAATCGTCCCAGAGTTTTTCGGTGCCTAATTTTCCTGTTCATTCCTGTCATGAACTCTAATCCGATTCTATATAAGTTAGTCGTGCCGACTGGTCTCACCTTCAGAAAACAGTAAATTATTGCACTATTCCTGTACAGCATTTTTAATAACGAAATATATGACATGAATATTTGCCCTCTCCGATGAACGAACAGAAATAATAAGCAGAAATAACGTGGCTAAAACAAGACTAAAATAAAAATAAAACTAAAATAAAAATAATAAAAATAAAATAAATAAAAAATAAAAAGAACTAAAAAGACAAAAAAAAAAATAAAAAAATAAACGAAATAATTAAAACAAACTAAAATAAAACTAGTAATAAACTAAAATAAAAATAGTAAATAGCAACGCGCACCAGACTAGCTGGTGCGATCATGCGTTTTGTGCAATTCAGCCCATCGAAC